GCCTGGTTAGTGCAGTGACAGGGCCTCACGCAGGCCTCCTGTCTCCCAGCCCGCACGGCCCTCATCAGCCCCACCATGCTCGTCAGATGCTCCGTCTCCCCCGTGTTAGATGCTGTCTCCCCCTGAACGTAAGCCCCGCGAGATCAGGGCTCTCTTAGTCACGTGCACGAAGCGGTCGGTGAATGTGGCTACGAACCACGATTTCTAGCTCAGGTTACTCGAGGAAGGATGAGGTGAGGAACACGTATTTGGGGCGGTGGGGGCGTGGGTCTGTGAGTTTTGTTTTGGGCACGTGGAACGTGAGGTACCAGTGGGCCTCACCGATGAAAGGTACAGAGGCTGCTTGGTAGGTGGCTCTGGAACACCGAGCAGAGGTGGCACGGGGCAAATAAGAGGAATGAGAGGTTTAAAGAAGAAATCTCAGTGCGCGTCAGCACCTGCGTGGCGGGGAGGCAGGGCAAGGGGAGGAGCCAGCAGCAAGGCCAAGGGCAAGTCAGTGCCAACCAAGCGGGGTGGGGGAAGGCTGGTCACAGCTCTGGCAAAGCGGGGAGACACACCTCCCTCTGAGGGTCACGTGTACGAGGGAGCAGAGGGACAGAAGGTGGGCGCCCACGAGGAGAAAGGCCTGCGCAGGTGGAATGCAGACAGGGGCGGGCGCGAGACGAGACACTCACCTTGCCCCGCAGAAACCTGGGAGGCAGACCCGGCGAGGGTGGCCGCGGGGGCACTGAGGAGAGAGGCCCCGACTCCCTGCCCTGCGACTCCCAGCGGGAGCCTCTGAACCGGGAGAGAAGGCCTCTCTCGTCAGCTGGGTGAGCGAGCAGAAGCCGGACTGGGTTCAAAGGGAGATGGCGGGGGTGTCCAACCAAGTGGGTGTTTCGGCCAGCTGAACTTGAGAGTCCCTTTCAACCCCGAAGGCCTAGGACTCATGATTGTCCTGAATCTGAAAGAAATCCAGAGGTGCTGGAGAACACAGCTGGCCACCCTACCACCCAACAGGAAAGCCTGTGTCCCCACAACTCTGAAGTTCCATCTGGGTTTACAAAACAGGCACAGAGTCTGGAACCCCCTGCCCTCAGGGATGACAGCTTCCTCCTCTAAGCCTGGGTACGGGACTCACTAGGCAGGATGACCCCGAGCGAACGCTAGCTTCCCCCCGCTGCAGGACAGCTGGGCAGGTGTGCGGTGTCTCTCCCAAAACTCTAGGCCATCATAGCTCTAAGGGCAAGAACAGGACACTTTCTAATAAATGTCCACTCACCCAGTTATATGCTCATGATGACGGCTCCACGTTTTGAGAAGGCAGCACCCCAATTCCCCAAATAGGTTCATTCAAATATAACCATTAGACTTATTTATGGCACTAATTAATTCTGGAAAGTTTACAAGTGGATAAAAAATGGATTTTAAGATTAAAAATTATTAGGA